AAAAAAAAAAAAAAAAAAAAAAAAAAAAAAAAAAAAAAAAAAAAAAAAAAAAAAAAAAAGGAAAACGAAAAGCTTCCCTCGCAAGCCACGCCCAATATAACTACGAGTTGTTAAAAGTTAAGGGCACGATGTAGAAGTTACCGGATTCCCTAACCATTAACCTCCACGTGTCGGTTTTAACCGGCACTGTAGGGTAAAAAAGAGTCGTAAAAACCGTCGGAATGTAGCACCATTCTTTTCTTCCTAAATTAACGTTAAATTAATCTTTTTAGTTACCTATCTAATCATTTTTTTTTCTTTAATTTTTATTACTTTTAATTTTTCATAATTACATCCATTTTTAACCTTCTAACTATATTTTACTTTTTAAGATTATTTCGAAAATTAATAATATAGGGACTAAAGTTTTGAGAATTCAAGACAAGATCACGACAAGAGCATTGAGAGAACCTTTACCTAGTACGAGAGGACCGGAAAAGACGCACATCTGGTATACCAGTTATCGTACCTACGGTAAACGCTGGGTAGCGAAGTACGAAGCGGATAATTGCTGAAAGCATCTAAGTAGTAAGCCCATTTCAAGATGAGTGCTCTCCTATTCCGACTTTCCCAAAACCTCCGGTAGCATAACCGAGATGTTCGAGTATAAATTTTTTTAAAAATTTGGTTGGTCCAAAATATTTTCCCGCCTAACCTTTTTTCACCCCTAATTTAAATTTGTAAAATAAAGATATGGGTGAAAATATATTAGAGTGAAATAATACACTTTATTAATTATATTTAATTAAAAAAAATTATAATATGTACAATTAATTATTATAGTAGAAGTTTATATACTTTAATTAAATTTAGTTGCATGAGAATAATTATTAAAATCAACATATATTAAAATTTAATTTGAATAATTGAATAAAAGTAAAATAATTAAGATTAATTAATTAATTATTTAAAATTTAAGTAATGTAATAAAAATAAAATATTTATTTATATGAAATTCTTAAAAGTATTTTTATCCAGTACCAAACGTAAATAAAAATTAAAATCAAATTGGCCCTAAATAAAATATTAATTACATTTAATTATATTGAGTAATTAATTAAAATCGGTTTCAAAATTTTAACAAAAAAAGAAAAAATAAAAAAGAAAAAAGAAAAAGGTCACCTGTTTTGTTTTCCATTTTCCCTCTACTTTTCTCTCGTTCTGTTCGCTCTCTCTCTCTCTCTCTGTTGATATATATATATATATATAACTGTGAATCCTCCGATCGGAAGTTACTCTCTTCCTTCCTTCCTCCAGATTTCTTCGTCCAAGTAAAATGTCTAGTGGGCGCGGTGGTCGTGGTCGTGGTGCCGGAGGTCGTGGAGGGCAGTCATCTCCGGCAATTTCTCGCGGTGGTGGTGGTAGAAGTGGCGGAGGTAGAGGTGGTCAAGGCGGTGGTGGAAGAGGTGGTCAAGGCGGTGGGGGAAGAGGTGGTCGAGGCGGCGGTGGGAGAGATGGAGGTCGGGTGGATCATCCGGCTACACAGCAGTTTCCTTCTCCGACTCCTCAGCCTACTCCGGTTGCTTCCCGTCCTCCACTCGAGACATCTGCGGGAGCATCTTCTTCATCTTCTACAACTGCTGCTCTTTCACAGCCGGAGGCTTCTTCTTCGAGGATCGAGGCACAGTTGGAGAAGACATTGGTACTGCAGAATGTTCCGCCGTCTTCATCTAAGGCTATGACTGTGGCTAAGAGACCGGGATATGGAACCATTGGGCGCAAAGTTGTTGTTCGGGCTAATCATTTTCTGGTACAAGTTGAAGATAAAGATCTCTACCATTACGATGTAAGCCTCTATTTGTTAGTTTCGTCTAATCTTATGTTTTTTAGTGTTGACTCTCTGTCATTTAATTCATTGCTACAGAGAGGATCTTCCATACACTGCAATTAAGGCCCGCTCTTTATATATATATATTTTTTTCATTTCCTCCGAGTCGTGTTACATTCTTGGTTCTTTTTTGGTGTATTGTTTGTATTTGATATACGGACGTAATCTATTCTGGGAATTTTTTGTTCACGTTCGATCTTTGAAATATCCTCTTGAACTTCTTGATAACCATATGCACTGATTTGCGAGTGTTCTTAGTAATTTATTAGCTAGAGCATTCAGATGTATAATTATACTTTTAGGTTTCTATTACGCATGATGGTGGGAAAATTGTTTATGTTGCTGATCATCATCCATTTTCGTCCAAAGAGTTCATGATTAAATTAGTTTTGATATAATCTTTTCTGTTGAACTTTTGTTATCCACATTTGATCTTTTCAAGCGTCATCTTAAAATTTGTTATAACCATTTACTACTGGTTTGGGAGTGTTCTTAGTAACTTAATGGCTATATCATTCATACGTATAATTGTATTTATGGTTTTAGGTTTCTATTACACCTGAGGTTACATCCAAAAAGGTCTGCCGAGACATAATACACCAGCTTGCAAAAATGTACAAAGAATCTCATTTAGGTGGAAGATTTCTAGCATATGATGGTGGGAAAAGTGTTTATGTTGCTGGTGAACTTCCATTTGTGTCCAAAGAGTTTCTTATTAAATTAGTCCGTAATGATGATGCCGGGTCTTCTCAACCAAAAAGGTATGTCTTCAGTTACCTCGCATGTTTCTGTCCATGAATAAATAATCAATATTGAGTTTATCTGTCATTCACTATCTGTCATTCACTCTACAGGAAAGAACGTGAATTCAAAGTAACTATCAAATTTGCTTCCAAGCCAGACCTCAATCATCTACAACAGTTTTTACATGGACGGCAGCGAGATGCTCCTCAAGAAACTATCCAAGTTCTTGATGTAGTTCTGAGAACTACACCATCTATCCAGTTAGTTTATATGAAACTCCAATTACTCTATTTAGTTACACATGGATGGAAGTGATAACTATATATATTTTTTTTTTCCAGTTGCACAGTTGTTGGAAGGTCATTTTTCTCAACCGAGTTCGGAAAACCAGGTGAACTTGGTAATGGTGTTGAGTATTGGAGAGGATATTATCAAAGTCTGCGACCTGTACAAATGGGTCTATCTTTAAATATAGGTAACTCTTTGTTACTATCAATTGACTCTGTCACTGCTGCTCTTTTTAACGTTCATGAGTTCTGTACTGCAGATGTGTCAGCCAGATCATTTTATGAACCAATATATGTGACAGATTATATTGCTAAACATTTCAATTTGAGGAATTTGCGAACAGCAACTGATCAGGATTTCCGGAAGGTTATTGATACTGTCTGCGCATGTGATGTCTAAGAGTTTTGTAGTGGAGATTTCATAATATATAGCAGCTGTTTTTTTTTGCTTAATGTCAGATAAAAAAAGTACTCAGAGGTGTGAAGGTGGCATTAATGTGTGGGGAGCATGCCAGGACGTACAAAATTACTGGGATATCATCAGAGCCTGTAGACAGATTAATGTGAGTTAATATTTGTGTTTCTCCATATTCTTATGGACCTAGCATAGAAAATGCATTTGAATTCCTCATCTTCTTTTAGCTTTTCATATTTAAGTATATACATTTGTGGACGTGATGTTCTGATGGTCACTGATGTGGAAGTTGATATTCGCTCAAAAATGATTTTGTTAGATAACTGTCATTAGAATGAGGGAGAAACATGAATTGATTTTCATAGTGCATGTTTGAAGGAACTAGGTTTTTTCTAGATTGAAATGTTTGGATGAATGATATTTGTGCTTTTGGATGATCAATAGAATGTAGCTCGCGAACAAAGGACATTGTTATAAATTGCTCTGGTTCCAGCTTTATTCCTCTTGTATAATTTTTGCATTCCATGTTTTTGTATTTAGAAGAATCCGATATTTGCAATGAAGATTCTTTGTATTAAATTGAGTTCAGTAGTGGTTACCTAGGTACTAATAAAATTATTGTTCTCGACATTTTGTTTTGACTTCTTAATGTATTGTTTTACTTGATTTTTTTTTT